ACTAATGCATAGCAGATTATGATTGGTTTTTGTCCTTGCTACTGCTCTTGTGGTGTGTTGTACAGTGTTGTACAGTGGAACCACCTATTTCTATGTAATTTAAGGAACCTGGTGTTGCAAAAATCATGCTCTCAGCAGCTAACTGAAAGGTTGGAGATTTCAACATACACAGGCTCAGCAAGAAAGTCTGAAAGATATGTTTCCACAAAGATTATCATCTTGAAAGCCCTTTGGGACATTGCTACTCTGTCACATAGGGTCTCTATGAATAGAAAATTGATGCTACTTACAACAACAGCTACATATGCAATTTACCACCTCTGTTTGTTTAACGCTTTAGTAAATTCCTTTCAGTATCTGACTGGGGCTTGTTGTAGGAGGGGAATAGGCATGGGGCCGAATGAGAAGTGAATGTTGATAATGGTAGATGTCTCTCCTGTCACCTTACTGAGAGAGGTTCCAATGGCTTCTGCACTGACCAAGTGTGAGAAAAAATGGTGACATCAGGATTATTTAAAAACATAAATGTAGAAGTAAAAACTGTGTGGAATTGTTAACTGAAGCTAGGTTTTCAATCTTCAATAACTTTCTTATATGTGAAAATGTGTGATAGATTTTAAGATATGGCCAAGGACACATTAAGATGAATGGAAATCTAACTTTTCTGTACACTTTCATTAAAACCACAATTAAAATATAAAAAAAAAGTTCTAGGTAGACTGATAGTTCTCTTAGCATTGAATCTTCTTCTATCCTAGGCAGAGTTCCACTGGCTAGAAAATCCTTATGATTTTTTTTCCTTCTTCTCTTTTTATAACACTATTACTCGAGGGATCCAGGATCCAGATGGTTCTCATTCTAGTCCTTGTAATTCAAATCTAACTGCAAAGTCAGAGTGTGTGATCAAGGGAGTTTGTTGCATCATTGTTCTCCAAAGCAAAATGGTTCTTTGGAATCCAGCCATCACCAAAGTCAGTTTAACCTGAAAAATAACAAAAGTGCCAACTCCAAGGCACTGGGTTCACGTCTACTAGCTGCTCTGTGAGAGAAAGACAGGTAGTCTCTTCCTGTGTGATTCACTGCCTCTGAAAGCTACTGAAAGATCAGCTATGAATTTGTTCCAGCAGGAAGTCAATGAATGTGAAGGTTTAGTTTTTATTTTTATATTAGTCTGTAGTGAGTTGCTCTGTTAATCAAAGTCTTCACATCTCTGATGGTTTGAATCCACCAGCAACCCTGAAGGAGGAAGATGGCCAGTCTCCTCCCATTGAGATTTATAGTCTCAATGCAATAGAGGATTGACACGAGTTGGAAATGGGAATTGACTTCATGGCAGTGGGTTGATTTGTTTTGAGTTTTGGTACATGGTGCTAAGTTGCCCTGTAGGGAATTTGCTATTTTGTCAACTTACGTCAGCTGGACCTCTTTGATCATGTGTTGGCTATTCTTATAACCTTTTATAGGCAAAGACTGTGTGTGAACTTGGGAACATTTTCTTTTTTAAATGACATTTATTCTACTTGGGTCATTTGGATATCTGTGAATTTTGTTTTCCAGTCCTTTGGCCATATTTTTTTAATTTTTAAAATTTAACTTTTAAAATAATCATTATAGATCATCTTTCAATTTCTCTTCAAGAACCCTTTCCCATCTTATCTCTTTCCAATGTCATCTTTTTCTTTTTTCTTTCCTTGCAAGTTCATTTGTAGAAATGTCCTTTAATCATCTTTATCGATTGGCTCCATTCTTCTGAATTTAATGACTTTGGATAGTTAAGAATGCCAGTAAACTAATAGAAAGAGGACTGTGGATATTTGTCTTCAACTCCATTTCCCCATTTTTAACTAAATCCTATGTTCTATAACTTGTTTTATTTCTGTATCTGCATATGCATCTGTTTTAGTATATTATTCATATATAAATATATGCATATATGTGGATAAATATATTTGTCTTTATATATTTGGACATATATAAAAATCATACACCCACAACCTTTCGTGGATCAGGGTTTAACAGAATACGATTCATATATTTATTTTCTCCTCCTTCCAGCTCCCATAAGCACATCAGGAGTGATGGTAACAGAAAATCGCAGTGTTCTGACTCCAAGTGACCCCTTACCTGCCGGCACCACAGCATTCTCACCCGCAAGCATCTCTGAAGGAGACCCTGGCTCCTCAGAGACCACACCTCTGCATCCAGACACTAGTCCAGCCAGCATATTCCTGGACGTTCCCAATAGTACTAGTGCTCCTGATCTGACAGGTTGGCCCAGGGATATTGTTAAGAGAAATGGTATTAGGAAAATGAGTTGCATGATTTTTACTTTTAGAATTAAAAAAAATAATATTAGGACAACTTGGCATTAACTAAATTACGTACACTGTTCCCAAATACGTGATTTTGTTCAAACCTATAAATTGAGGACACAATAACAGAAATGTTTGTTGATGGAAGTAACCAATGTATGTTGTGAAGAGGCAAAGGGAAAGACCCCAGTCTTGAGGGGACCTTCTTCTGTGTTCTCTGGACCCACATTAGCCTCACTCTTCACTTCGCTCACAAAGGTCTCTTGTCACCCCCCCAGATAGTGGTGTTGTTGGTAGGTGCCATCAAGTACAACTCAGAGTGACTCTATGAGCAGCCAGCCTGAACCCTGCCCTCCTCTTGTGCCATCAGCCTCCCTCTGCTGACAGGCACTCAATATAGGAGGTTCCCCTTCTTCCTGCTCCATTCTCATTACCATAAATTTAGTGAAGACAGAACATTTTCTTTAAAATAAAAGTTGCACTGAGAATTCCCTACCCAGGTTTTTTATTTTGTTTTGCTTTGTTTTCATTTACTATTTCTGAAATCCTAATGATATAATTTAAGGCAATGTATCATGTTCATTGTGAAATACTAGAATTTTTTTTCCAGAAAAGACCAAGGCGTTTCTGAGAACCAGATATGCCAGTGACCATGTTCAGAGCCATTGTTCATAGAGTTGCTATGTGTTACAGTTAACTTGAAGGTACATAACAATAACACATCTCATATCTGCCAGGGTGTTCCATTCTTAAATTGATTGTAGTAAGAGTCATTCATGTCTTTTCTGAAATAGTGCATTTCTGTAGGCAAGGAGGTGTTTTAAGATATATACTAACAAAAGGCTCAATTTGAGCTTCACTGTTTGAACTGCTCAGCAGAATCTTCAGTTGTAGTTTATGTATACTGCATTGAAAGAGATGAGGGAGAGAACAGTTTAAAAGTGATGTATGATTGGGTATTATGGTTATGACAAGAGTCCAGAATGAAGGTTGCATAGTGGAGTGTACTCGGGAAGTGGGAGAGGGGATTGTATACCAATGAAAGAATTTTTCTTTTACTTTTCAAGAGAAGAGAGAACTGGGGAGGGAGAGGGGTGGGCAGGGAGAAAAATGCAACAATGAATGAATGAAAATCCAAAATCTATGTAAATGTTCATTAAAATTAATTTTTAAAAATGGCAAATAAAACCCCCCAAACAAGTACCTGTAAAACCATCACAGAATTTTTAAAAAATGGTATGATGTAGTGTTTTAGGAGCCATACTGATCAAGTTTAAAAGCTGTAGAAAGCAGTTACATACAAAACTTAGAGGACTAGTAATCTTGGGGCTGTCTACTTAATGTTGACACCATTCCCCTCCCCCTGCTTCCTATCATTATTAGAACAGTAACTAGTATCTATCTAAGCACTGCAGTGTTTTTGTAAATTAAGATTTTACAAAAGATGTTGCTGAAGATTACATAGAGTATTTCATGTGAAACTTTCTTGTTAATTGAGTAATGCCACCCAGAGCTTTAATGTTCCACATTTCACTTCACACATGTTTCCCTCATTTCTATCTTATATCCAGATTTTTTTTTAACTTAAGAACACTTGAACAATACAGATGTAGAGAGAGCTAAGAAAGTTAAAAGAATTGGATATGAAGAAGCCTAATTTTATGTTACTTATTTGCTTGGTTCAATTAGGTTGATGGTGAATCTAGCTTGGGAAGTTTCTTATATATGGTTTCAAATAAAAATACTGCATATTATTCCTTAGAAAATAGTCTTGCTATAAGATCATATTTCAGTTATTTAGTGAAATATGTAATAATTTCTAATTTATTTATATGGTAGAGTCCAGTTAGAATTTTCTTGCACATAGATATACGTGGGGGGGAAATGTCTTCTTTTCCCTAAAGATGCACTATTCTATTCAAATTTACTCTGAGAAAATAGGTAAGATTATTATCCTTATGCATGTCATTAGTAAACTTATATAGTCTTAGTTTTGATAAGCTCACCTGTTGCAAACTTTATAAATGTCTATACCATGTGTATGTATGCATGCATTAAGAATTAAAATCTAGCATCAGATTATACTATAAAAGATAACACTATTACTGGATACCCTTCAGATATTATTCATGTGATTTGATTTGGGTTGTAGAGCATGTATGAGAGAGAGAGTGAGAGAGGGCACAAGACTGCATTTTCTTTCTTCAACATTAGATCTTTCAACAGTCTATTAGTGTAATGACTAAAAATTCTTTTAACTTGTCTCTTTTTCTGGTTCGAATCCTATTGTTTGAGGATAGGACTTTCCTGCTCATTTTACCTACCAGAAATGTGTTAACTTTCAGTTTATAGAAGTTAATGGAGACTTCCAATGTCTTGTGGCTAGGGAGCAGTAAAATAATAACAATTTTTAAAAAATAACTCAGGGACATGAGTTCTTTATGACTGCACTAAACACATGGCCATCTCAATCCCAGGCATGTGTTTTTGAGGACACAGGTGTACTTTCCTGCCAAAGGATTCTAAACACTGGCAGACATGTTTTCTAGACTTTTATTTTGCGGTGAATTATAATAGGAATATCCTCTTATAAAAATCTACCAGTGGTTTTTTGTTTTGTTTTGTTTTGTTTTGTTTTTTCCAAAAGCAGGGAATGATTGATGCAATGGTTTCACTTTCTTATCTTAGGTGTTAGGACAGCACCAACGCCTCACCTTTCCACGCACGCAGACTCGCAGGCGCCCTCTGCCGGATCTGACAGTCACACACCCAGCAGCAATGCTGCCCTTACCGCACTCACCCCTGCTCCTGGCAGGGACCAAGCAACAGGTTTGCCTGACCTTTAGATTCGTGCAAGTGCATGACCGCTTCCTGTATTTAAGAATGCCTTTGTTAAACGTGTAGCATTTGCTAGCTTGTGAATTTGAAATGTCGTAATTACTCAACATATGTTAACGCAGGACAAAGGTCCTCTTGATAGTAAATCACAAAGGACAAGGATTACTAGGCTGCAATGAATACATACATCTTCAGAAGACCAGTTGCATAAAGTCATTAAATGTTGCTTTATATTTGGGACATACATTGTTCAAGGACCTCAGGTGGTGTCATAGAGCCTTGCACTGCTTACCAAAAGACAGTGACTCTCTTGACAGTTTGAATCTACTGGTTGCTTTCAGAGAGGGTAATCTTTCCCTTTGCAATTTACAGCCTTGAAACTCAATGATCACCTTTGAGTCAATTCCAAGTTGATGAAAATGAGAAAGGGAGTGAGGTCATTGTTTTTTGTTAGCGATAAAGCAACAACCCAAAAATCCTTTTAATTAAAAAAAAACAAAAAACCAATGATGACTAGATAACTCCAATCATTAGTGGAAATAACTGGGAAATCGTGACCCTAAGAGTGAGAAAAATTACATGGATAATTGTATTAAAATACCAAGATATTTTCAGCTTTGCATTGCTGAATTTAGAATTAGTCCCTCTTTTATTTTTTTAAGATTGGTGTCTAACTCACTTTATCATGCCCATTTCTTTTGATGTCCATACCCCCTCATTGCACCACTTCAGCTGTCATGGGAACTGTAGTGAGAAGGTCTGGAGCTTTTAGCAAATCCACAGGTTCAGAAGGAATGGAGAATAAACAGCAGAACAACTAAGGGGAATGATGGTCACTGAAATCTGGTCTGTTTTGGTCAGCTCGTGGAATTTATCTGATTGAAAAGCTATTAGGATGAGTAAACCTAGTTCAAATAGTAAGTGTCAATCTCATTCTCCATCATGTAGATAAACTACACCACAAAAATAAAGCGTATTTTATGTGAAAAGGAAATGATGACCATTTGGGAAACTTCCTGGAGGGAAAATGAGGGAATTCAGAACAGCTTGGGGACATGGAGAAATGGCAAGGTGGGGGTGTGAGGGATTAGTTTGGTGACAGACATGAAAAAGAAAGTTTAAAAAAAACAATAACATAAAACCCCAAGCAAACCTTGCTGATTTTAATACTTAGAAGAAGATCATTTCTCTCCTCTTTGATCCCTGGGACCCTTATCGGAGGAACTGGAACTGATGTTACTTATTCCTGTCTATGACTCTAGGATTTTATTTATTTATTTATTTTTTATATTTGGAGGGTAAGTGGAGTTAAGGGAACAGAAAATCAAAGACTATCTTTTCAAAGACACATTCCCAACTGTAATGGCATACATATAGATAGACTCTAATAGAATGTTATACATATGGACTGTATTAATTCGCAGTTGGAGTATGCCAGGATACTCACATCAAAGGCATATGCACACTGTATATGTCCATGGCATTCTGTTAAAACAGAACATCTCATTGCAAAGGAGAGACACACTGAGGTGGAGTATGTTCTGCCTCACATCGACCCTCTGTCGTTCTGAGGCTGGGTTTTTTTTACGGGAAGAGAATGCCCATCTTTCTCCTGTGGAGCAGCTGAACGTTGTGCATTACACCCAAGGACTTCTTACAAATAAGAGATTCATCTCAAATCATAGGACTGCTGCTCTCAGGAATGCTAATTGTAGAGATAATCAAATGAGCTTGGATAGGGAGCAGGTTAAATTGATGTATATTTTTTTTCCACGAAAACAAACAATGTTAATTATCTAGAAGGTGCTCAATGAAGAGAAATTGATAAATTGATTACCCATGCTGCACTTCTGTGCATACCATCTCTGTATCCCACACATTAGGTGCTTTGAGTCTTGACTAGATAGAACGTGTAGTTTCTTCTTCTTCAGCCTTTGAGTCTCCACTACCAATTAGCTCAGAGAGGATTGGAAAATATGGCAGTGGTTTCAGCAGAAGGTGAATATGGAGGTTTGTTGGTTCCCAAGTCATCTGATTTTTCTTGGCAAGGGAAACTTAAAGAGTGAAAGTAGAACTGCGGACCCTGATCTGGAAAAGAAAAACCACAGGGCTCAGCTGCTGCACAGAAGGAGTGCATTCAGCTCTATTTTAAGGAAATGGAAACTAACCACCTGCACTCAGGGGTCTTGCCCTCAGAGGTGCACCCCCATGGGATGATCTCAGCATGAGTCAAGTGGTACTTCCTTCTATGCCACCCTTCATGTGGCCTTTTAAACTCACAGATCTCCACTTCCACCTGTAAGCCCCGAGCACCAGCAAGCCAGCACCCTGCTGCACATTCTGGTGTCTGTTTATACCCTCCTCCCCCAGGGCAATCCTTTTAAGGAACCCTGTAGGCATAATGCATAATATATTTAGACTGCTAACCCAATGGTTGACAGTTTGAATCAACTGGCTACTCTGCAGGGGAAAGATGGACAATCTCCTCCCATCAGGATTTATAGCCTCGGTAACCTGATGGACGCTCACTGTGGGTTGGGATTGACTGTACAGCTGTGGATTAGAGCAACCCCTGGAGTCTCTGGGTAGAGCAAAGAGCCAAGTGCTCCTCTACTAGTCAAAAGTCTTGGCAGTTTGATCACACTCAGAAGTGATTCAGAAGAAGGGCTTGGTGGTTTACTTTTGAAAGGTCACAGCCTTTAACTCCCTATGCAACAGTTCTATATTGCACTCACAGGGTGATTGTGAATCAGAATCAATTTGACAAAAACTATCTACAATCAGGGAAATCCTTGGTCAGAAGACTTGACATTTTATTCGACCCAAGTCATCTCCAGAGACGCCAACTTTTTGTAAAAGTATATGTACGCTTACAAAGATGGGTAGGTGCCTTTAAAGTCATCTTACCCATTAGCCTTGATATTTTTAAGGTGTTTGGTAGGCCAAGTTTCCATAGCAGAGAAGAAGTGCTTTGTATTGTTTGATTGAGCTTCAGGGATCATTCTTGTGTTGACTGTCTGACCACTGTCATTGTGTGGCAGTGCTGATGGCCTTTCTAATTGCAGGTGCCCCAGAAGAAAGAAGCCAATTCACCAGCTTTCCCACAGACATGGGGTTCACGACTGTAGCCCCCCTCATACCTGCACACAGCAGCCCCACTGCTGTCACACCTCCACGCATCTCCAACACCACCACCCACGATAATTCCTCAGGTTTGACAAGGTTTATCTAGGTGTCTGAAGTGATGGGCAATAAAAATGGCAACTCACAATTGAATGCAGCTCTTTTCCTTCATATGAAATAGTCTTTGCTGGTATCCCATTTTACAACTTGTTTCTACCTTGCTACTAAAGTAGGCAAAAGAACTCTGCCAGTTAATGTTTTCTGGGTGTATTTAATTTCATTATGAATACTATGAAAGCTCATAGGAAAGAAGAAAAGAAGCAAACTTCAATGCCATACAGATATAGATATGAAGCCTCTTCAGCTTCATAACTGAGTTTGGAATAAGTTACTTTCTGATTGTCATTTTTCCACTCTGTAAAAAGAAATATAAAAATACCCTGTTCATAAAACTGCTGTGAGGATTGGATGTGTAAAAAAGCCTGAGATTTAATAACTATTACAAAAAGAAACTGTTATTCTTGGTATTAATCAGCATAAGGAGAGTTATAATTAAGAGAAATGCTGAGTTGAAGGAAGATTGCATACCGGGTGAGACTCAAACCAATGAACAAAGTATTTTGGGTTAAGGTATGCTACGTTCCCTTTGGACTATTTTAAACCTTAGCTATTGGGGGGTCTATTTGTAGATACATCTTTTTATTTGCTTTCTTATTTTAAAAATAAGTGTGAATTGAAACAAGGACTCTTAGAGCAGAGATTCTGTTCGAAATCTATGTTTGTCGCAGTGTTTTCTTCCTCCTCCAATACAAGAAATGCATTAATTTTTATCCTTCTGTTCATTCCTTGCAGATTCGCCCCTGAGCATTTCCACAAGCACCGTACCTCCAAGCACTTCCACAATAATAGGTGACAACCTTACTCTCAGTCATGCAGCCAAGACACCACAGGCCTGGGGAGGCTCTCACAGAAGGGTCTCCCTTACTTTATTTATCTTGAAGTCCTTTTTTTTTTTTTAGTACTTTAATAAAGTATTCTAATCTGTGAAGGTGTAGAGCAACAGTTATTGAGAAGCACTGATTTCTTTTAGCACTGCAACAGCTAATGTTATCAGGGAGTAAAGACTATTATCCTTATCCATCATGCTGCCATGATGATATCTCCCAAGTGCTGTGTATTTTATGAAAAATTTGAAGAAACGCCCAACCATATTAAAATGAGTTCTCTAAGAGTTAAGTTCAGGTATTAGCTTGAAAAGAAAACAAACCCAAAAAACAAAAATAACAAACCAGTTATGTTGCCATTGTGATTCGTTCCAAGGGGTGAGTAGTAAGACTTGGTTGCAGAATTCCAATGAAGTGTAGGGATGTGGAGGAAAGGGAGTTTAAAGACAATGGCCACAGCAATCATTACGGCAAAATGGAGATTGTGGGTTAACACATTTGAGTGCTAACTGAAAGATTTGAGGCTCAAGTCTGCATGGAGGTATTATTGGGGGTGAAGGGAATCTTAGTGATTTACTTCCAAGACACCAGCCTTTAAAAAATCAACAGAGCACATGGAATTGCCATGAGTTAGAGTCAATTCGGTGGTACTTGTTGGTCTACAAAGTTATCAGTGATGGCGGAGCTTGCAAGCCTGCCTTTCTCTTCTAGAGTTTTCCAACTAGAGACAAGATTAACAGACATCTAAGTGTCCACAAGACACATATCCACCCCATTCTTCAGCTGAATTCTTATGTTCACTCAAGAGTCTCTTCAGTTTCATTAGAAAGAAGTTAGCACCCTGGTTGTAATATAGGATCAAAGAGATTTTAGAAGCTAGAATAGGAGCAACCTTTAACAATTGTCTTCTTACTGACAGTCAACAAATTTATATCATTCTATTTTGAGCATAAAAATTCAATCAGGTGTGCCCTAGCAAACTATTTCATTATCATCAGATTTTGGCTTATTAGCAGGTTAAGTGTGTGAACCTGTTTATTGAAGATGTTCATGAGTTCATAATATTTAAAGTATTGAGAAGAACACATTGACCAGGCATGGCAAACCCAGTATCATTTGTTAAGTCAAATTTAAAGATATTACAGTTTTCAAAAATAAAGTGTTTTAAAACACCTGTCTCAGAAATTACTATAACAGAGATATTCTCAAACAAATTCTAATTATTTGCATTCCTTTTTCTTTTTTTTTTTTTTTACAGCTACTACTACTCAGGCCAAACCAACATGTGGTAAGTTTGTTTGTTTGTTTACTTTGAGAAAAATATTACTTTGTAAAAATATTCACTTAGTCCCTTCATCCGAACCTTCTACTAACCAGATAATCTCATTAACTCGAATTTCTCCTCATGATTAACTCCCGTTCTTATGAGCCATAGTCTTTCAGGGGCAAGGTGTTTGATTTCATATTCAAACCTTGTTTTAGATCTCAAAATGATCTGTAAGTAACTTGACAGTGCTAACTGACTTCCGTTTGGGTATTTTTAAAATAAAATAATAGCAATTTTTCTTTGGGTTAAGGGTAAAGGATTTAGTACGATTAATATAATTTGTGGGAAATGTTTTCAAGAAAATAAAACAACAATGGATTTCTGTCTCTCTCTCTTATGCAGTGTGGTACCAGGCTTTTAAACAATTACTTGAGGAGAGTTGTTTCCCCACCCCATTCTCAATGTAAATTTGTTTTTCACTCTATTTGTTTCTAAATCTAATTGTTGTTCCATCAAGCAAACCATCTATCATCTATATTTAATCCCTCCATCTCTTGGAATAATTTACTTAAATTCATTACAGATTGAAATACAATACAAAAACCTCCTACACAAGCTTGCCTCTTCTAAGTGTGGTCTCTATTCTCTTCCACAGTCACATCTTTTGAAAGAGTTGTGTGTATTGTCCATCTCTTCTTACCACCCAAAACCTTGCTATTAGCACAACGTGCTTGCTGATGATAACATCCTACTTAATTGGATTTTGCATAGATGATAAACATCATCTTCTTTTGCTTGAACTCTGTCACATTTGAAACAGCTAACCATTCTCTTAACAGTTTTGTCTGCATTCTTGGATTCTAAGACGCAGCCTTCCTCTGTTTTTCATGCTTTTTATTTTACTGGCTTAAGTAATATTTTTCCTAGCAAATCTTACTTTCCCAGTCTCTGCCTTTCTTCATTTTTCTCAATTAAATCCATTGCTTTAGTTAATGATCACAAGCTGACAACTATCAAATCCTTCAAGTCAGTGTGTAGTTTTCTGTTGGAATTTTATATTTTCTTGAAGGCACGTCAGACTCGAAATTGTTGAAAAAAGAGAAAAACACTCCATAGTTTATTTTTATTTAACTATTTTCTCTTGACCATTTTCTTGTTGAATGAAATCACCATCCACAAATATATCCAAGCCAAAACTTACTAACTGCTCCAATTTCCTTTGCCTTATTTTTTTCAGTCACTATTTATATGTAATTTATTTGTTCATTCATTCATTTAATATACATTCCACCTCTCTATATCACCATGATCACTGTACTCTATATCAATGCTTTTTTTCAAAGACCAAATTATGTCAATTTTAAGTATTAATGCACCTGCAATTCTAAACACCATCATCATTCACTGAGGTTACAGAAGTTTTGATTTAAATTGTTCTTTACTTCTAATCCTGCCCCGTTGAAAATGCTCTTCTTATTTCTACTAGATATACTATCTTGAGTAGTTCTTCAAACATTTAGTGACATTACCAGTGTTTATATGCCTGTTTGATTACTGTGATCTTTTGTGATCTAGTTCCTTTGTACCTCACACTTCGTTGCCTTGATATATATTATTCACTTTAGCAATACAGAACTACTTATAGTTTGCCGAACACATATGGTACCTTCCTACCTCTCTGTCTTTAGACCTACTGCTCTCCTCTAACTTTGAAATTCCACTCAGGAGTTAGCCCTTGTCTTGTTTGATACATCCTGTTTTAGAATTCTGGGGTGCTGTAAAAAGAACAAAACACTGGTTGCACAATGGGTGAGCACTTGACTGCTTACTGAAATTTTATGGTTCATCCGGCTTTCCATGGGGAGAAGATTTGTAGTCTGTTTCTATAAAGAGTGGTGGTGTTAATTATCATCAAGTTGGAAGTGATTCATAGCTGACCCTCTAGTGGGTTTTCAGAGACATTTAATCATACAAGAGGAAGTTGCTCATCTTTTTCTTGTGGAGCAACTGGTGAATTTGAACCATGTGCCTTAGGGTTGGCAGGTGAACTCCTTATTACTAAGCAGTCAGAGCCACCTCTATAAATGCCACAATCTTGAAAGCCCTATGGGAAAGTTCTACTCTTTCCTATAGTGAGTAGGAAATGACAGTAATGAATTTATCCATATTTTAAAAGTGAAAATGACTCACCTCTTCTGAAATTTCTCCTCTATTCCTTCAATTTAAATAGAATGCCTTTGCAATTCAAGTTTCTATCTTTCTTGCTTGTTAGACCAAATATTACTTAAAAGTTGTGACCAGTTTGATTATGCTGAGTATTTGAAGTGCTTCAGTGTCTTCAATAATATTAAAGTCTTGATAATTTTTAATTGGCTAAAAAAAGATATAACTTACTATTTGTTGCAAAGATATTTTTGTCAGTCAATGGAAATTGTTTAAATAAAAGCAAAACTGTAAGATAAGACCTAAGAAGTTCTCTAAGAAGGCATATTATCAATAATAGTTCTAATAAGCAAAGAAACAGGAGGTTCTATGTCTCTGAATGATGGCTATTGCACATATTTGAAAAATCAGCTAATTAACCACACACTTTCTAAATTAAGGGTCATTGTAGAGCAAGAAGAAATTGTTAGATTTATAATTTATTTGCTGAATATTCAACAAATAATTGCTGAGCTTCTACTAATGGAAGGTGCTAGGCAAGGTGTTAGTGACCAAAGTAGATAGAACTTTTGTCTCCTGGAATTTATAGTCCAGTTATGAAGCTATTAAGTCAATATTCATCCAAATGGGTGAAGCTAGGGACATTTCTAAGGGAGTCATTAACACAAAACAAAGCAAAAAGCTTCTCCAAAACCCCAAATGAATACAGGATCTTGAAGTATTCCTTTTGTTTCTCATATTCCTGTGGAAATTTTAGTAGTGATCACATACAATTGGAAAGGCATTTTAAGATTTACTGATTTAATATGAATTTCTGTATTCTGAAATGAAATCTATTTCTTTCTTTCAGACAAAGAATATGAGCATGTTTCTGTGGAGTACTACTACTATGACACTGCAAGCAACTCCTACAGTGCAATTTTAAGTTCTCCAGGGATATGTCACAGTTGTGAAAACTTAGAAGAATGTTCATCCCCCTTGGTTACTATAACTAATAATTCATGTGTTGATCCAGCCAAAAGTTTAAAGCTATCTGTCCCACCAGGTAAATATAAATTTCTTTGTATTTGTATACTTACAGCAATAGTGAAACCTGACATGTGATGTGGTATTGTGATTACAGGAAGGGGGAAAAGGGAAATGGAGTCAGTGTATATTCTGTTCTTCTAACTAAATAAAGTTAACATTTAATACAAAGTTTCTGGGTTTTATTCCTTAGCTCTCCTCATCTTTTAGAGTTTCTTATTCATGAAGCATATATAATTTGTGTTATCATATAATGTAATTATCAATTTAGATTTTTCTTCCCCTCTAGTATTTCATTCAAATCCTTAAGATTCCAGAAGACCCATTCCCATCCAATTGATTCAGCCTCAAGGCAATCCTCCATTAGTTTCTAAAGCTGTAAATCTTAATGGGAGAGAACTGTCCATATTTTTCCTCTTATAACCACTGATGGCTTCAAACTACAAACCTTTGGTTAACATCACAACAGGTAACATACTATGCCACCAGGGCTCTTTAAATTTATTTATCCTCTTAGAGATAAGATTGAACTATATTTGAAGACATGAACAAAGCTAGGGAGATGGTTTTTGTGAAAAATACCAAAATGCTATCCAAAAAAATACTGGTTGGGTTTTTTTCAAAAACAATGTAGCAAAGTTGGTGGCAAGTTTTGCAACTAACCCAAAAGCCATGCCTCTCTGGTGGTTTAAATGTGTCTGTGGCTCCCTGAGAGAAAGAAGGGCAACCACCTCCCACGAAATTTTTAGCCTTGGAAGTCAATGGACGGTCTGCCAGGAGTCACTTGTGAGTTAAAGGCAAAGGGTATAAGTAAAAGCAGTGATGATTCTTTTTCTACTCAGTCACTACTGGGAAAGGGATAGGACAAAATACTGTCATGTTGATACTATAAAAGAAACCTAGAATATGGATTTTTGAAAAGGGATTTAAAGACTGTGCAAGTTTCAGTGTTTCATACAATGTAACTCTGCAAAATTCTTGACTAATAAAAAAAAGAGCAAAGGTTGCATGAGGACAGTCATATCTGACTTTTTTCAACTTAACAAAGAGGAACTGTCCCCATCAAGAGCATCAACAATCTAACACCAGATCTCATGAGGTCAGACATGTCCTCCACACTCCCGTACCTCTTTCTACTTATTTCAACATTAATGTTATTATTTTACTGTGTTTAAAATCCAATGTGATAACTCAAAGACCACGTGGAATGAATAATATTGAGGAAGCCAAGAGGTTATAATCCAGGTGAGTAGTAGAATATAGTTATTAGCCAGGGCAACTTCCAAAATATTCTCACATGCACTTCAGCCTTGAACATCACAGTTTTAGGACAGCATTACAAATTTCTCAGTCATGCCAACTGTGTCTTTCTATAGCCCCCAATACCTCAGTCCTTCAGTTGTCCAATAAACTTGAGCAAAGGGCTCTTAGCTTTACTTCTGTGGTAGATAGCAGTCCCATGGTCAGCTCTGTATCATTTTGGGTCTTTGGTCCTCTGTTTCAGCTGCTATGGCTCTTGCTCTGGTCCTGAAAAATAAGTTGTATTTTCTTTCTTGCTCTTTTCTGGTGATGGAGTTCTACTTTCTGTTGCTGGATCTACTTAACTTAATGGCAAGACTAGTTAATACCTTTGCGGATTTGTGTAGCTCACCAATCCCTTTATAGATTGATGAGACTAGCCAATCCTCTTGAGAATAGGCTTATATGCTCATTTCACATATTCCTGCCCATTCACAAGGCAAAGTCAAGATCAAGGGTTAAGGAAGTAATTTTGATTATAAGCCATTAATATCATGACTAATTTATTAACATCCGAACAGATTGGAATCCAGGAGGGTTTTTATGGAGGGAGGCTTATTTAATTTAAAAACTTCCTCTAAATATTACAGAGATAAATGATTAGTTTAACAAATAAATGACCGTTTTTAAAATTAAAGTGTCTCAAGAGGGAAACTTCTAGTTTTTTTGTAAAATAATTCTATTAAAAAGTCAGAGTAAAATAAAAAAGTTCAAGATATAGAGAAGAAAGAAAAAATTAAATATTTTTAAATGGGCTAAAATGGGAATTTTGTCTATATATTTGTTTGAGGTTCATTTTTAAAAGGAAACAAATTCTACATGAACCCACTATAAAAATACATGATGTTAAAAAAATCCTAATTAATTGACACCAAATGCTGCTATAAATTAAACGTTTTCCAAAACAATCAAAAAGGCTGCTAAGTTATCATTTCGGTTATTGGCCTGGTGGTAGGAAGAAGCTGTGCTACTATCCTGAAAGTACACGTTCAAATCCAACAGGTACTCTACAGGGGAAAGATGGGCAATCTCTTCCTGTGTGATTAATTGCTTCTGAAAATCCGCTGGCAGGTCATCTATGTGCCAATTCCCACTCAACAGTATATGACCACAACAATTTAAAATATAGCATAATTATGAGATATTAATCACACCATGTTTCTATATCTTTTTGACAGAGCCTACCAATTTTACTTTACAAGATTGTACAAAGTTTGAACATTCAAATACCAGTATTTGTTTGGAATGGAAGCATACTTTGCCTTTGAACTGTGAACAAAGTAATATTACCTATGTCGTCAAATGTGGTAAGAATACAGCATTGATCAGATTATTTAGGGAGTGGGAAGTAGTTCCAAATATTGTATATTTCTCTTTTCTTTTCTTTATTACTCCATCTCTCCCTGACTTTTCGTTTTTTTAAATTTTTTTTTTTAATTTTCATCGAGCTCCTTTTGTGGTAGGCCTGGGGTATAAAAATTGTATTATTTATTAGATGCCACCAGCCTATGCTTTCCTAGTACCTGATTTGTAAAATAGACAAATACAATTGCTGAAATTTAAAATGTGAAAATTGTAAAATGCGGAAGTTAATTAACTCATAAGAAATTTCATGACAAGTGTTATATAAAAACATTATTGAAGAACTTTTGAAGAAGGATTTTTCTAAAAGAATGGTGATTTATCTACTCCATTAGAATGAGAGGCAAACAAAAGATTGCAATGTTCAACCAAAGGTTGCAATGTTCAAAAATTTAATTTGTAAATCTTCCAGGAATAAATTCTTATACATGTGAAAGCACACGTGAATGATACAAAGTAGAAAAGAATATACAAAAAGATTGGGAGAGGCACTAATTGGAATTGTACTTTTTAGGACTCCTTCAATATGTTCGAAATTAAGGAGATGGAATCTCTCACCTACTGTCATAAAACAACATGCCAGACCAATTCTGACAAATTACATACACAAAATTGTTGTAGCATTGGTTGCAATTATCATATGAGGGAGATGAGCTAAGTAGTATGAGGAAAACACAAGGAAAACATGACATTGACTGTTAAGAATAACAATGTTCTATCTAGAAAATGTATTCATTAATACCAGCTTCGGGGAAATCTCAGCTTTAAGCAGAGATTGATGGAAGTAATGCATAATTTTTTCAGTCATATTAGAGACAAGTTCAGATAAAATATATTTATTTGCTAACTATATTTAAAAAATTCTTATCTGGCAAAATCATACTTTACTTACTAGCTTTTTGGGATATTTTATGGTAAGATTTTCAACTGTTTTACTTATTCTTTCAGGTATTCAATCATCTAGTAAGAACTATACTAACTGTACTCCCCTGGCGGACCAGGACACAAACAAGTATCAATGTAAAGACCTTGAGCCCAACACCAATTATATTTGTGATTCAGAAGTATTTTATAATAAATATAAGTTTGTTAATAAAAGTAAAAACATCAAGACAGATTTTGGGAGTAAGTATATTGCTTACATCTGTATGTAAAAGTGTTTCCTTTTTAATATTCTTATAATTAATTAATAATCACAGAAAATGATGATAAAGACCTAGAGCACAGATTTCACAAAACAAATTGTTACTCATTTTTATGTTGAATTTAGGAATAAATTACACCAGGTTCAAATTTCTTTCAATTTGTTTGAAAATTAGTTGTGGTGAGGTTGTGTTGGAAATAAAACTGAGGTAAGAATAGTTGCTTGTAAGAAGTAAGAAGTGACTAGCTTGTATTTTCTCATGACTCAAGCAGCAGCAACAGAAGAAACCATTTTTAATTGCAATTTTAGGTATACAGACCAGAATAAAAATATTATCTGAGACACACACAGTATTGTTCTTAACACAAATGTATTGTGTACTGGCAATTTGGAAACAACTTATAGCTGGCCCTCCAGTGGGTTTTTAGAAGCTGTAAATGACATGGTAGGAGAGTATCCATATTTCTGGTGAATTTGTTTGGGTTGATAGGCCAACTCCTTATAACAAAGCCACTAGAACTCTTTTAACATAATTAACATAAAAAACACTATTCTAGGATTTCCTCATTAGTAGAATTATCCAACTTTGTAATTTTCAAAACAATATCTCATTATTAACTGTAAAAGAAGACTTTCAGTTCAAGAGTGTACATTGAAAACTCAACAAAAAATAATTTTCATGCTCAAATCAGTGACTTGCTCAAGTCTCATGCCCTAAGTTGGAACCAACTTACAGCTGACATGCCATTGAATTTCCCAGGCTGTAAATGACAGGATAAGTATTTGCCTATCTTTATCCCTTGGAGTTATGGTAGATTCAAACTTCCAAAGAGGTATTAATTTTGGGTTAACTGTGCAATTGCCTATAAATTATTCCAACAGGGCCCCATAAACTAGTGATTAGTACCCAAGACACAAGAATATAAATTATCAGAGAGAACAACTGTTTTATAAAGCATTTAAAAAGTATTGTAAAGAGAAACTGTTTAAAATTGTTTTTTTAAAGATAAAAGATAAGATTGTTTTATTTTAAAAAGATAAAATATACCACTGAAGAAATTCAATGAATGAGTATGCTGCCTATATCTCAAGCAGGTGTTCATGACCTTGATCAGACAGAAGGGATCATCCTAAACACCAAACCAAAAACATTGCCATTGAGACAATTCCAATTTAACAGTGACTGGAAAGGTCAGAGCAAAATGGCCTTATGGGTTTTCTGAGACTCTAATTAATCTTTATTGAAGACTTGTGTTTTGTCTTGTGGAGAGATAGGCAGGTTAACAGATGAGGACTTAATTATTGAATTACCACAGTTTCTCACTAAACACAGCAAATTAAAGTTAAGAAAATATGAATATTAGGAGTTGTAAGATTTAGATTTTAGCATAGATCTAGTTAGCAAACCCAAAACAAGGAATGCAGATGTGATAGAACACAAACAAAAGTAAAAATATATTAGATAAAAATGTTCCAATGATGATGTTTTACATGAAACTTTTAACTGAAAAAAAATCCTACAAAGATCCCAACAAAATTAAACCAATTAGGACATTATGTTTCAAGTGATGTAAAATAAATTGCCATAAACATTGCAGCTTAAAGAGCAATAGTCTTTTATCAGTCCACATTCAGTATGTCAAAATCTAGCCATTATATGACTGGATTCTTTCTTCAAGATGTCCCCAGGCTGATGTAGTAGTTGGGACTAGACTTTTTCTGGTGTTCATTCCTATGAATTTAGGCCTTAAATGTCTCTTGTCTTGCAAGCTGTTAAACAAGGACCACTCTCTATACATCAAACTTATAGTTCTTATATAGTGCCCTCATTTACAGAAAATAGTACTGCACTGAGCCCTTCCCATACTTCACATTTTTTTTTAAAAAAACAATAAAACCAAACTCAAACTCATTACAATTGATCTGAAATAAATTCACAGTTGACCATTCCTTAGGTTTCCAATGTTGTTAAGTCTTTATGTAAGTAGAGTGCCTTATCTTTCTCAGGAAGAGTAGTTTGTAGATTGGAGCCACTGATTTTTTGGTTGGTAACTGAGCTCTTTAAATACTACTCCCTGGGGGCTTCATTATAAATTAATATTGTTGTATTATCTTTCACTATTGCAATTATTATTATTGTTGTTAATTTATACAATCATCCCAAAAAAACTACTTCATACCTATTGGCAATAATTTTCCCTTTTCCCATTGGCAGTCATTTTCCAAGTCTCCTATACTTAGAAAAATAATAACAATAATAATATCAAGAAAGTAAAAACTATTGAGAAGTAATGTAATTTGGATAAATGGAGCAGAGATTGCTAAAACATTAATTGTAATGAAATAAAATTTTTGACAAAACATACTGTTTGTATAATGTTAATAGATAAAGGCCTGCCTAAACACATATGTCCCTAGAAACATCTAGAACAATAAAAAAATCCCCACAAGAAGTACAACTAAAACTATAAAAATATCATCAGGATAAGTAGAAAATGTAATGTTTTGAATGTTAAAGGTAACTTAATGAAGAAAAGTATAATCTTTTAAACAAATTGTAATGAGTATTCCTAAAGAAGCATACATCAATATTCATTTCACATTAAATGCAAAAATTAACCTGAAATGAATTGCAATTTTAAAAGCAATTACTAAAACTATAAAATGTCTAAATGAAGATGTAGGAGAAAACTTTTTTACCATTTTTTTTAACTAGGTAAAAATTTCTTAGAATATACCAAACAATTGCTGTTAAAAGGAAATATTTGATAAATAGTTCTTCATCAAATTAAAATATATCTGCTCTTTGAAGAATCAGTGAAGGAAATAAAAATTCAAATTAATTAATAAAATAAAATAAAATAAATAATTCCTTTCTTGGAAAATTAATTGTAGCTGTTTAGTTTTCCAGCAAAGGGATTGTTTTTCTGGTGTAAATGGAAATCCCTTGCAACAACATAATAAATCAAAGAATAATGCACTTTACAATGAAGAAAATAGTCAGTATATATTTATTTTTCTAAAAAAAACATATAAAAGTGGCCAATAAGCACTTGAAAGGGTGATCAAGATTAACAGTAAGTTGAAAAATGCAAATTAAAACTATAATGAGATGATGACATTATATAGTTACTAAAATGATTAAAATTACGAAGTCTGGTGATTTTTAAGACTGTGATGTAAAGACTTACCAATTTCACTTCAAGTGGTTACCTAATAGAAATGAACATCCTTACAATGATTTGTATACACTCTTATGGCAGATTCACTCAGAGTAGTAAAAATCTTGAAAAATGTAAATTTCCATCATAATGACTAGATTAAATGTGTCATAACATGCTAGATGTAAGAAGTAATAACTGTTTGGTTTCATTTACATGTAAAGACATTTTAGGAATGAAGATAAATTTTCATCTGAAAAACAAAAAAGTGATGTGGTGTTGGGTTGAAGGATTAGCTAAGAAGTGGCAAGAAGGGGAAAAAAATCTTTTGTTTTTTTTAAAATTTAAAAGTTCTTTTCTTTAACTGTGGAGGTAGTTACCATGAATGCATATATTTGTCAAAACACAATAAACTATACTGCAAAATGAATATATTTTAATATGTGTAAATGATTTCTCATAAATTTGGTTTGAACATTTATTACTGTTTTCATCTTGGGTTATGATGGTAGGAATGACACGTGTCATTCCAGTGACTGACTGTTAAAACTTATCAGGACTACACGGAACAGATTGCCAGTGAAACACAGTAAAGCCTGAAACCCAGGATATCTAGGTAATGATATATAAAGAGAAAGAGGAAGTTATCAGCTGTCTATTAGGTTCACAATGTCACTATGGAGAGCTATTTACTCTGCTAAATGGCTTCTCTGGTTGCATAATATATAGAAATAACACTGCTAACCCAAAGTCTGATCCTCTCTGCAACTTTAAACCCACCAGTGAGTGGCTACTCAGGAGAAAGATGGGATCTCCTATTGCAATGAGTTTGAGGTTTTTGAGTTTTGTGCTGGCTTCTAAGCACATTTGAAAAACTCCAATGTTACCCTTTCAACCTAATAATTCATATTTAATCAAAGTGTGGTTATGAATAAGACATACAAGGATGTTTTAATCTTTATCTCATTTTTCACATGTTATATTCTATTTTTTTTTAAACAGTTCCAGATATGCCTCAGAATCTTAATTGTTCAAGCACATCAACGAAAAACAATGTAGTTACTTGGAGACCACCCAAAAACTATTTTACTGGATTTGATTTCTGTTATGAGGAAAAATCAGGTAATATATAATGAATTTAATTACATATAATAAGGAGAAAAACCATCTGAGAATGCAGAAATGTAGATTGATTCAGTGAGCCTTATAAAATGGCCTGTATTGGATGGGTATGGTGAGTATTCTCAATGCTTTGATTTTAGAATTGCTTCTACTCCACAGAAATTTTTATAGTTTCAGTTGCCCTGAAATAGCACATGTTCAGAACACGCACAATAATTAAAAAATAATTTAAAAAATTCAAACTTTAGAGAAACAAAATCTCCGAAAGATCACCTTCATGCTGTTTCCCAAGTATTACACAAGTGTTCTCTACCACTTTGAACTAGTCATTCGGATTCCCAAACCAAGAGAAAACATATTTCAAAGCTAGTTCCAGTTAAGACTCACTAAAGATAGTTACACTAAAGACAGAATGATTACAAGAACATGGACCTATGTAGCTATTTAGGCCTGGTGGATGGCAAGTAGAATTTAAAAATCAAATTCTAAAGTTAAATACCATGAGAGAAAAATACAATGGTACAGCTAGTTCATCCCTCAAAACTTCTAGGCAATAGGCTGTTTAAGAAAGCAAATATTTCCTGGAAAAAAATCAGTATTGTTATGTTAAGTCAGTTACAGTTCACAACAACCCTGTGAGCAATGACTCTGAACTCTGTGCTATGCTGTGCCATACTTACTTGAGCCCACTGTTACGGTCGGTATATCAATTGATCTTGTTGATGTACTTTCTTGTTCATTTTGACCCTCTATCTTTCCACACAACATGTCCTTTCCCAAGGACTAACTGCTCTGTAAAACATACCCAAAGTATGTGAGATGGAGTTTCACTATCCTTGTCTATAAGGAGTAACTTGGTTACACTTTCTCCAGGACAACCCTGTTTGAAAGCTTATAGCATTTAAAATCAGGAAACATCAGTTGTTCATCTCAGCATAGGTTCAATACCTGGGTTAGACTTCTCCCAAAATAACCATCTCAGTAACTATTTTTTTTTTGTTATCATTAGCTGCCATCTACCTAGGTTGTATAGAGCAAAATTCTGCTTTTCTCTGCAGTATTTCCATTATTGAACTGTTATGATCCATAATGTTTTCATTGATTGACTTACAAAAATACATTGCCCAGCCTTTCTTCCAAATACGTTTTAGTTTGGTTTGTTATTGTTATGTGCCGTCGAGACGCTTGAGACTCATAGAGACCCCAAGTACAACAGCCCTAAACCCTGCTCTATCCTGTGCCAATTGCACTACCTCCGACACACCCATCCCAATTACCCCAGTCACTGAATCAATCCACCTCATAGAGGGTCTTCCCCTCTTGCGCCATCCCTCCAACCTTCCAAGCATGATGTCCCTCTCCAAGAACCTATCTCTCCTTACAACATGTCCAGAGTATGTCAGATGAAGCCCCAGAATCCTTGCCTCCAAGGAGCAGCCTGGTTTAACCCTTTCCAGGATGAATCTGTTTGTCCATGGTACATTCAATACTCTTCTCAAGCACCACAGCTCAAAGGCATCAGTTCTCCTTGTATTCTCCCTAGTCATTGTCCAACTCTCTGATGCAAAACAAGTGATTGAAAAGACCATAGTCTGTATCAGATGCACCTTAGTCTCCAGAGTATGGTAACTCCCCTAATATTTTATCAGCATCAGAGCAACAAGCAAGCCTTCACTACTAAATAAGTGGTGTCTATGCTTGAGGTGTACTGACCAGGAATCAAATATGTGTCTTTCTACATTATTGCACTTGTTGTTAGGTGCCTTCAAGCTGACTCCCGGTGGAAATACCAAAACTTTGCCCTGTCCTGTGCCATCATCACAATCTCAATTTCAAACCTATTTCAGTAGCTGTGTCAATTAGTCTTATTGAAGGTCTTTCCCTATTTTGCCAGTCTTCTATTTTTCAAAGTTTTTGAACCTGTTGTTGTTCTGTACTATTGAATCAACTGTGATTCACAGTGACCTTATGCACAATAGCTTTGAACCCTGTTCTATCCTGAGCCAGAATCACTGTCCCTGACACACCTACCCCCCCCCCCATTATCCTCATTACCATTCTATTCATCTCTCTTGTGCTATCCCTCTACCCTTCCAAGCATGATGTCCTTATCCAAGGACTGGTCACTCCTGGCAACGTGCCCAAAATACGTGAGACAGAGTTTTAAAATCCTTGCCTCTGATGAGCAACTTGCTTTCACCCTGTTCAGGACATACCTATTTGTCCTTTTGGCAGGCCAATGTATGTTCAATGTTCTTCTCCAGCACTACAACATAAAGGCATTGATTTTTCTATAATCCTTAGTCATTGCCCAGCTCTCTGATACTTAGCAAGTAACTGAAGATTATGGCCTAGATTGTTGTTGTTGTTGTTGTTATGTGCTGTTGAGTCGCTTGCAACTCATAGCGGCCCTATGCACAACAGCCCTAAACTCTGCTCTGTCCTGTGCCAATCGCACTGTCTCTGGTGGAGGGACAGCACATGAGGGGAGGACCCTCTAGGAGGTGGACTGATGGCCTAGATCAGCTGCACCTTAGTCTGTAGACCTGAATCATTGCTCATCAGCATTCTGGAGAGGTTCCATGACAGTAGATTTTCCTAATGCAATTCGGCTTTTGATATCCTCATTACTGGTGCCAAGAATATTGATTGTGGAACTAAGCAAGATGAAATTTTTAACAATATCAATCTTTTCTCCATCCATAATGGTGCTGCCAATTTGCCCAGTGTTTAGAAGACAAATTATTTTTTACTCTTTCATTTTTGGGTTCCCCCCATTCCTGCTCCTCTTTAAACACAGAAATGAACTCTCCATCTCTCTCCAACAATTCTATTCCTATAGGCTAAGGTAGAATTGATTTAAACATCTCAGAAAACTCCTTTTCTGTGTTAACAGGGCAAGGGTTAACCCCAGAAATAAAGTAAAAGTGAAACATAATTTGTCTTTCACCTGCTAATTTAAACTGATTCTTTATAATACATTGACTTTTGTAAAGGTATGAATCTTTAAGTGAAAGGAGCTATGACAAACATACATTACCCAAATCTTTCTCTTGTGAAATGACTTATAATATCACACTGCCAACTTTTCAGTCAATTGTGTAATATTTAAGCCATTACATCTCTGAAGATCTTATGAAGCCTTTAATCAATAATTGCAGTGCTTAAATGAGCATAATGGAGCAGATCTAATCAAGTGATTTCTAAGATTTCTTCATCTAAAATGTATATTGCTGTTAAGTACTGTTGGCTCAAACCAACCCATAGCTGACTCTCTAGTGGGTTTTCAGAGGCAAGAAATTGCTCACCTTTCTCTGTGTAGCAGCTGGCAGATTCAAATTATGTATCTTTGAGCTGGCAGCAGAACTTCTTATCCCTCAGTCACAAGTGCTCTCTAATGTCCATAGGAGTAGCTAATAGAAACAATAAGAATCTGTAGTCTAAATGTTAGAAAAGACATGTTTTTCTCAGAAAGTGATAGGACTGTCCTAAAAAATATCTGAAATGTAATAAATATTTTATATATAAAATTAAATATATAAAATAATATTGGAACATTTGTGCTTATTTATACTGGCATCTGTTCAACACTTGTTGACCTCAATGTCAAGAATGCATTTATTTCTCAATCCCTTGTTAATATGATGTCTGATGGGAATGATGTTATGCCAAGAAAAAAATTAGATGTGTGAAAAGCCTGAGTTTTGCTGATTTATTTAAAATTTCTCCTTAGGTGGAAAAAATTGTGAGAAACTGGAAAAAGATCATCACAATTACACTTTGCAAAACTTGACATCTTATACAAACTATACTGTATCAGTAAATGCTTACATGGAAGGACAGGTGCGTCGTGATGGACCAAAAAATATATGTATTATTGAAACAGACATAACAAGTAAGTTGCCCTTTATTTTATGATTCAGTACTTTCTTCTACAAAGGTCAAGTAGCAATGAACTTTTATTCTGAGGTTTCTATGTTTATGCATGCCTTGGGAAACATACTGGTCTGGGGCATTTGTTTAGGTATACTATTTCTAATATACACTAATTTCTTGTCTGTTTGTTATATTGTGGTAGCTTATGTGTTGCTGTGATGCTGGAAATTATGCACAGCTATTTCGAATGGCATCATGTCAGAACAGATTTCAACTGAGCTTCCAGACTAAGACAGACTGGGAAGAAAGTTCTAGTGATCTGTTGTTGTTGTTGTTGTTATGTGCCATCGAGTCGTTTGCGACTTCTGGAAAAAGAAAGAAAAGGGATGTAGTGAAAATTGAATAAATGTCAGACCATTGTCTGATAAAATACAAAAAGATAAGCCCCTCAGATTCAAAGACTCTCAAAATCAGAATAAGAAAGTACTGTCTTCTCAAATTGAGTCAACCATAATAATGGTGCTGCTAGAAAGCTTTTAGGACCTTCACTTACTATGGTGACAGGACTCAAAATGAGAAGAAACAGTTGCAAACCTTTATTATGATTTTAAAGTGGAAGTCTAACAAAATTGGAAACCATATAAATTGAATGGAACACTTGAAAATTGATATACCCAAAAACCTGCATTAGGGAGATAATACAGTCTTGAATGCTGAAAATAAGAAGGACTTTAACTGCTTGCTGTAGAATATCAAGGACTACAGTTTCAATATGGATTACAGTGAAACATCAAGAAAACAGAACCCCTCATAACTGGACCAATAAGCAATGCCATGATGGGTTGAGAACAGATTGAAATTATCAGTATTACTTTTTTTTTTAATCATTTTCCTTGAATACAAAATCAGCACCTCTTGTATCAGCAGTCAAAAAATTTTTTTAAAAAAAATGAGTCACATGGGGAAATGCTACTATCAGGGACTTCTAAAGAGTACTAAGGAAAAATGATATCAGCTTAAAGACTAAGGCACATTTGATCCAAGTCATGGTCTTCTCAATTGCTTGGTTGAACAATGACTAAAAATGATGATGTTGTTGTTATGTGCCATCGAATTACTTGTAACTCATAGCAACCCTATATATGTTGTTGTTGTTGTTATGTGCCGTCGAGTCGATTGCGACTCATAGTGACCCTATGTACAACAGCCCTAAACCCTGCTCTATCCTGTACCAATCTCATTGCCTCTGACACACCCATCCCGATTACCCCAGTCACTGAATCAATCCACCTCATAGAGGGTCTTCCACTCCTGCGCTGTCCCTCCACTCTACCCAGCATGATGGCCCTCTCCAAAGACCTGTCTCTCCTTACAACATGTCCAAAGTATGCCAGGCGAAGCCCCAGAATCCTTGCCTCCAACGAGCAGCCTGGTTTAATCCTCTCTA